ACGGGGTAGGTGGCGTTCACCGCCGGCGAGGGGTTTGATGGCGGCGCGGATTAGGGTTCGTGATGATAGACGGGGTGAGGAAGATGAGGCAAATGGGGGGTAGGGGGGAATTTTAGACATTTATATACCCAACATCCTAGTTAGATCCGGACCGTTGGATTGATGAGATCCAACGGTCGTGGTTAGATGCTGGGGAAACGACGTCGTTTGGACTTACTGGGGACCGGACCGGGTTGGGGGTTTGGGCTGGACTGATTTGGAACGGATTTAAGGCATTTGGGCCTGAAAAAATCCAATAAATAGGCCCAAATTTGAGTCTTCTATTAAGACCCAATTTCCATTCTTATTTCCTTTTTGTTTTCTTTTCTTACTTTTACAATTTTTATAATTTTTCTAATTTTTATGGAGATGTAAAACTAACATGAAATCCTAGTTATTTCAAAACAAAGACTAATTAACTCCTAAAATTGTTCAAAAACTATTTCATGATGAATTCCCAATAGAAATCATTAAAATGCAAAAATGAACTAATTTTTTGTGATTTTCATGTTTTGTTCTAAACAAATTAAACTTTAGTTGATACTAAAAAAACATAAAACTAAAACCTAAATGCAAAAATGCATATTTCTGTATTTTATAAACATTAACATGCACCAAAAGAATGCAACAATTATCAGAAAATGATACCGAAATGCACCAAAAATTGTAAAAAAATAAAGAAAAATTATTTTGCTTTGGGATTTTGGGAATAATCATATTTAGGGCAAAAATCACGTGCTCACACCACCATTCTATAGAACTTACCTAAGTCCATATTTATCCCATATAGAACTCAGGACAATTTGAAGTAACAGAGATGGACTTTACCAGTATTATTAACTCAATCCTAGATAATTCCAAGTGAAAAAAAATAACAATAAACAAATTTCAAGTTGATTACTCGGTCTACAAATTAAATGAGGATAAGCACTTAAATGACTAATAGAAAAGAAAATCTGACATACTAATGCATTTATGAATCAAAATGAAGGAAAATATGTGGTTGTTACCTCTCAACAGCTATTTTTGAGAGGTATTTGCACAGATATGCAAATCAATACGGATTTTGCCGTTAGTGCCAAGCTTTACAGTTCTCGTAAAGGACCTTCTGAAGAATGAAAAAAGGAGATTCATAGGCCTTTCGTTCCTTAGCAATTCGTTTCAAACTCAAGTCAGTAAATTTTCCAAAAGGAAAATGCATCAATATTCGAATTCTGGTATTATATGGACTGAAATGTACTGAGACTCTGTGTATGTGTATCGACAGAGAGAAAAGACGAACGACGCTGATTCCAGAACTTATCTGGAAAATACGAAGAGAGATGTGTATATATATGCTGAACAAGAGCGTACGTATAACAATTAAATTTGTACGCGATTTTAAGGATATGTAGATTGATTCAACACAAGTAATCAAGAGTGTTGGATAAGCGAAATAGAAACAAGATAAATAACCAAACCAGTTTACGTTGAGTCGGGGTTCGGATTTAGGCTTAACAGTATTTTCGCCCTCGACCAGACCCTCAATTCGAAGCCAAATATATATCTATGGTTAAAATAAGAACTTCTAAATAATTAAGAAGCAGAGAAACAAGTTTGTATTGCCTTGATATGTATGTTACAGTGTCCATTGAATAAGAAACTTCCACTTTATATAGCAGGGGAATTTTACCCTTATTACAATTCTAAAAAAGGTAAAAATACTCCACTTCAGACAAAAATAGGTGAGTCTGTCAAATCAATTATTTCAGGACAAGCAGTAGAAAGTCTTATTTTCTTGCTGTCTCCACTTACCTTGTAGCATGGAGGAGTAAAAACATCAATAACCTCAACTTCACTAGACAAACCAGCATGAATGCTCTGCTGACAAAGTTCACCACCAAATTCTTCGTCCAATTCAAATATGTCCCTTAAGTTGTCTGTTATACTATAACAACCACTTTGAATTGAGGATGGTGCGTTCACCGGCGAGTCAATGATAATATATGTCTGCTCGGGATCCTCTCTATGGGTTGAGCTATTTTCTTCAGCATGTTCGTAAAGTTCTTCTCTCCAATCAAAATGTTCAACGATATTTTCTACAGCGCTACTAGCAGAACTATCAGAAGTTGTGGATCCTGCAGATCCTTCGTCTGTTAACTTTTCACTGCTCCCCAAATAATCTTCACTGTTGTCCCAATCATTGGTTGTATACTCATTCTTGTCAATTCCTGTATAACAGGGAAGTTCGTCCAGCGCACAAACTTGGACTCTCATGTGCTCTGGAATATTAGGGCAACCAGCTGAATGCATCTTGTATTTTGTGGAGAAGAAATTTACGATGAGATTTAGGCTGAACATAGAAAACAAAACTAATGAGACAAAATTCATTACGGCTTGTAAGTCCACCTCAGGAAAGCTGAGCAATAAATTTCATACCTTTGCCACTCAGGGAGAGTAAGCATTGTATATGCCAATTTAATCTTGTTAGCAACTCCTCCAAGAGATTTGAACGATGCTGCTGCCTGTCTAACTGCACGGGATTCTACTGGATGCTGCCACGCCCACTCAAACTGCAACATTCAATTAAGAAAACAATTAAATTGATATCTCCTACCAGCTTCAGTTGGTCTATCCTTAAAGCAAATTCAGGTTACAAAGGGAATTTGCATAATGTAAAGTTTCAAAAAATGAACCTTTTTGTAACATCTAAAACCTCCTGAAATTCCAACAGTTTGCGCTATTTCTCAATTGGTTCACTTGATATTAAGTTGAAAATTTCCCCTTTGTTTATTTCACATGAGAATTAAGCCAACAACAAACATTGGGGAAGTTAGATTTTTGCATTAAGAGATTCAATGTGAGTGATCAGAGGTAACCAACTAAATTCATGGTTATGAAAACAGTTTGTAGCATTTGGATTTATTTTCAGCTTTCTTTTAAAAGTATTATGGTCTAGGGATTGGTTCCTCGAGAACTATGTGCATGTTTGGATTTGGGTTCTGAAAATTGGTTTCTCGAAGACAATTTGTATACTTATGTATAGATTTGATGGAAAAGTATGCTTTTTAACTTTTTAAGTAAGATATATTTTTGCTTTAAGTTCCCACAAATTAATCTTAGTTTCATTTTTCCAGGTAGTGTAACTAAACAATAATACTCTACAGCTATTCAGGACCTGATTGACTTTTTTTTTTATCTAAATTCTATTTCAAAACTATACATCACAAATATTTCTAAAACAACAAAAATGTATTACACAGCTGTTACCTAAGGCCAATTTTGAAAAACCAAATCCAAACATGTATTATGCACATAGCTAAAGAACACGGGAGAGAGAGGTACCTGGAGGGCAGATACGTTTGTTGGGAAGCCATAAATGCATAAAACCATCTCCCAAGGACGCTTCTTCTTTGTCCTGAAAGCACCCATCCTCACTTCTCCATTGTGTTGTCGTATTCTACGGCGAGGATTCACTGTAAATCTGCACCAACGATGGATTACACTCCTGTTCTATTCATGGATAATCCATTCTGTTCGAGAGGAAAATAATTTTTTATTTATTACTTGAATTTAGGACTTTAAATATAAATTAAAGGATATCAACCTGCAGACAACAATAATGTTCAAGAAAAATAACCTGGTTGCAGAAAACAATTTTAAAAAAATTCAAATTTTCATAAACCTCTCAAAGAACAAATTTTTTATGGCAATATAGATGATTATCATTTCAAATTAGGCAATCTGATAAAAACTGTGCGAGGAAAAAGAAATAAACAAGATTTGCGGAGTGTTAACTTTAATTAAATTTGGATCTAGGAAAATAAAAAAGAGAAAGAAAATGAAAGGGGATAAGATGTAACGAAGTAACCAAAGCTCCCCAATCGGAACCCTAATCTGATGGATTTCATTATCAGTAGCTGTGTGCCAATGATTAGAGCTAATTGACGAGAAAGAAAAAGGAAACGAACCCGATGTAAGTGTGGCCCTTGAACCTGGGGCACATAGACGTTAGCAAATAGCAGGCGAAGAATCTGCTTTCTGCTCCAGCTCCTGCTTCAACTTGTTCACCCAAATTCACTTCTTTTCCCTCACATCTTCCTCCAGAAACTTTCTTCTGCTCTCTCCCCTTCCGTTTCCCCATCTCTCTCTCTCTCTCCTTTCTCTTTCTCTGTGCAAACAGCGGAGCGTTTGGATTCCTTCTGATCACGTGAAATTCGACCGTTGTGATGCGGGTTTCAATTTTCCCGTTCCTTATGTTACGGCCTTGTGGGCCTCGTGACATGTTCTGGGTGATTGACACGGTTGGTCCTGGCCCAATGTTTTTAAAATTAGTGGTATTTAGAAAATAGTCCCGACCAGCATACAATTATTGCTCTTCAGTACCGGATTGATAGAGTTTATGCTATATTTATTCTACTTATTTGTTAAGTTGTTCATCAAATCTATCGAGTTGGCATACTTTTGCATATCAGGGATTTCTCTACCGGATTGGTAGAGTTTATGCTATATTTACTCTACCTACAGGATTGGTAGAGTTTATGCTATATTTACTCTTCCTATCTGTTTAATTTTTCATCGAAGTCTACCCCGATTGGCATATTTTGTAGTATTTGAGCCCAGTTCCCCTTTTTGATGCTTCCTGTATATGTGTTTCTAGTTTTGAGGTTTGAGGGTTGATTGATTTGGCTTCGGGAAGGTGCGAGAGTGATTTGGAATGCTGTGTCATTGTTGGAAGCTTACGCTGTAAGAGTTGATCGAGGTTTGACTTTTGTGTAAACGACCTTGGAATGTTATTTTGAATATTCCAATAGGTTCTTATGGTGATTTTCTATTTAAGCGTATGTTCCGAATTGAATTTGGAAGTTCTTAATACGTTTTGGTGCTATTTGCCAAAAGTTGGCAATTCTTAGGAATAGAGAGTTCATAATTTGACCGGGAGATTGACTTTGGGGTTATCATATTCGAATTTTGGTTCCGAAAGTTTGAATAGGTTTGTTTAGTTATTTTGGGACTTGTGTGTAATGTTTGGGTTCGTTTTAGATTATATAGGCTTGAATCGGACATTTGATTGAAAGTCGGAAATTATGAACTTAAGAGATTGAACTTGATCGACGATTCATAGTTTTGATGTTAATTTCAGTATTTTGATTTTTTGGATTGGTTATGGAAATTTTGTATCAAACCACCACTATTATCCTTAGCCCCACGGTGGGCACCAAACTGTTTACTCTTAAAACGGATAATAATTGAATTTGTACGTGGTTTAAATGATACGTGGATTGATTCAACACAAGTAATCAAGAATGTCTGATAAACGAATTAAAGATAAAATGAATAAACAAACCAATTGTGACATTAAGGCCAGACTTGGATTTGAGCTAAACAATGGTTTTGTCCTCGACCGGGCCCTCGATTCGAAGCCAAATGTATATAAAGAACGGTGATTAAAATAAGAACCTTTCAATAGCTAGAAAACAGAGAAATGAGTTTGTATTTCCTTGATATGTGTGTTACAATATGTCCATTGAATAAAAAGTTTCTCCTTTATATAGTAGAAGAGTTTCATCCCTAGTACAATTCTAAAAAGGGTAAAAATCCTCCTTTCTCATCAATTACTGATACACTACTGACATCGGGCAAGATCCGCGCCGTAATATTCGATTGGGTGAGATTATATCACAGTCCTCTGTTAGTCGTGTGAAACTTTATAAAGTGTTGATTGAATCCCCGGAAAAGTTTTCTGAAATTTTGTAAAGTGTTTTATGTAAGTTATTTTTCCTACGTGTGTGTGGCCCAATAGGTTTAAGGCACATACTTAATATTTAATTAATTATTAAATCTCATCCGTCCGATTGGTTACTTGATGGACGTACCAGATTAAGTGAGAACCTCTATAAATTAGTCCTCTCCCCACCCATTAGGGTTACCATATTTTTATTCTCTCTTTCATCACTAAAGTCGGCGGTAACGTAAAGTTAGGGCAAGGGGCGAGAAACCGATTACCGATTAACGCTTCCGCTTCAAGATAATAGATTCCGCTTCAGATATGTTTTCTGTAACAATTTTGTGTAAGATTATCATGTTCAAGATCCTGGTGTAAATTAAATTTATGCTTACATATGGTATCATGAGCATGGAATTTGAACTGATAATCTTCGTTATGAAAGTACTATTTACGAATAAAGCATCAAGAAGCATTAGACTAAATTTTCTATCTGTAATGGCTTATGTTACTGCAGTGATTAGGGGAGGAATTTATCCTTAAGATACTACGGCAAATTTTTGTGGGGTTTTCCCAGAAGAATGATTCTCATAGAAATTAAACCCTAGCCCACCGAAGAATACTTTGAAAAAAAAGAATGAACTTATGTGCTTCATTTTTTTTAATGATTATTTTATTGAAAATCGGTGTATTGAAATTGAATTTTTTTATCTTTGATACTTTAATAATTTATCAATGGCTTCAGTGAATCACTTTGCCCAGTAAACTTGTTCTTCTATATGTTCACATTCGCAAGTATCCTTGCCACTATAGATTTGGGCTAGATTAAATTTAATTTATTAATATTCATAGTTTATTAATGTTCTGGGCATAATAGTTTACGTTTGTTACCGTGGGATTTTTAATGTATTATGGACCATTAAGTAGATGAAATTAAATTTCATCTTTGAAGTTACCAGACACATGTTTTAAGATTGCACCTTGGCCCTGCAACAATAATTACATAGAAATCCATCATAATGTGTTTATTGTGATATGGTTCTTATTATTATATATATTATGTAACAATTAATGTATATGTTTAAAGTTATATAGTTTGTCAGTCACCAAAGTGATCAAACTAGAATGTCTAAAATATTTACATGCGTAAATATTTTTTGTTATGTTCATTTTATGTGTGCATTTATGTTTATATAGTTTGTTAGTCACCAAAGTGGCCAAACTAGTATGTTCATGAAAAGTTTGCATACATAAAATTATAGTTTATCCATGAAATTAATGAAATGCCTATGATTGAAAATAAATGAATAAATTAATTTTCACTATTGCTAGAACTTAAGGATTTACCCAAAGGTGAATCAATTATTCTATGATTAGTGAATATGATGAGGTAAATTAATATTCTTAGTCAAATATATATTGTTTGTCCAAAGATGGCATATATATTTGGTTAAAAATATTTCATTACCTATTAAAAGGCTAAATGTCACTTAAATTATGATAGTATATCGTAGTATTTACCCAAAGGGGAATTGCGATATGCTTTGACTGTTTTGTTGAATCTATATTGATTTGTGAGTATGTATTATCTATTTTGCAGCTATCCCTTTTAATTCGCTTTCTTCGTCTGTTACTGTGTTCAATGGATTGAACTTCTCTGAATGGCGTGAACAAGTCCAGTTCCACTTAGGTGTGATGGATCTTGACTTGGCTCTGCTAAATGATAAGCCCGCTGCCATTACTAATTCGAGCAGTGCGGATAAGAAGTCTTTCTATAAAGTATGGGAACGCTCTAACAGGCTAAGCCTTATGTTTATGCGAATGACTATTTCCAACAACATTAAGAGTACTATTTCACAAACAGAAAGTGCCAGGGAATACCTGAAGTTTGTGGAAGAACGTTTTCGTTCTGCAGATAAGTCTCTCGCTGGTACACAAATGGCTTAACTCACGACCATGAAGTTTGATGGGTCGCGTAGTATGCAAAATCATATCATCGAGATGACTAACATTGCAGCAAGACTTCAGACCTTGGGCATGAAAGTGGATGATTCCTTCTTGGTTCAGTTTATTCTGAACTCATTGCCTCCTGAGTATGGACCTTTTCAAATTAACTATAACACTATTAAGGATAAGTGAAATGTTAGTGAATTGTCCAGTATGCTTACTCAGAAGGAGTCAAGACTGAAGAAACAAGGGAGTCATTCAATTAACCTCATGGGTCACGGAGCTGGTAAAGGACTTAAAGTGAAGGCCAACAAGTTCAAGAAGAAAAAAGCACTTGCTAAAGCTCAACAGGATGCTAACAAGGAACATAAGGCAGATACCTGTCGTTTTTGTAATAAGGAAGGACACTATCAGAAAGATTGTCTGAAACGTAAAGCTTGGTTCGAAAAGAAAGGTACAATTAGTGCTTTTGTATGTTTCGAATCAAATTTAGTAGAAGTTCCTAATAATACTTGGTGGCTTGATTCTGGTGCAACTGCTCATGTATCTACTACGTTGCAGGGATTCCTTACGATCCAAACTACAAATCCAAATAAGGATTTCTTGTTCATGGGAAATCGTATGAAGGCTCCAATTGAAGGCATAGGGACTTATCGTTTGATCATGGAGACTGGACGTCACCTTGATCTATTACAAACTCTTTATGTACCTTCGGTTTCTAGGAATTTGATTTCTCTTTTAAGACTTGATGTTTCCGGATTTGATTTAAAGTTTGGAAATGGATGTTTCAATTTATATAAGAATGCTATTTTTTATGGTTCTGGTTTTCCTAGTGATGGTTTATATAAATTGAAACTCGATATTGGTTTTTCTGAATCCCTTCTTACTATTTAACATAATATTGGAATTAAACATAGTTCACTAGATGAAAGTTCTGTTTACTTGTGGCATAGACATTTGAGTCATATATCCAAAGAAAGGTTAGAAAGATTAGTAAAGAATGAGATTCTTCTGAATCTAAAGTTTACTAATCTTACTATATGTTTGGATTGCATTAAGGGAAATCAAACCAAGCATAGTAAGAAAGGTGCCACAAGAAGCACCCAGCTTCTTGAAATTATACACACCGATATTTGTAGACCCTTTGATGTTCCATCTTTTGGTGGAGAGAAATATTTTATCACTTTTATGGATAATTTTTCATGTTATGGATACGTCTATTTGCTGAAAGAAAAATCTCAAGCAACATATGCTCTCAAGGTGTTTGTTAATGAGGTTGAAAGACGATTAGATAGAAAGGTGAAAATTATTTTGTCAGATAGAGGTGGTGAATATTATGAAAAATATAATGAATCAGGACAATGTCCAACTCCATTTGCAAAGTTCCTCGAGGAACGTGGCAGATGTGTACAATATACTATGCCAGGAACACCTCAACAAAATGGTGTTGCAGAAAGGCGTAATCGAAAACTTATGGATATGGTTAGGAGCATGATAAGTAATTCCCCATTACCTAAATCATTGTGGATGTATGCTCTTAAAATCGATGTATATTTATTAAACAGAGTTCCTAGTAAGGCAGTTCCAAAGACCCTTTTTGAACTGTGGACAGGAAGGAAACCTAGTTTAAGGCACTTGCTTGTTTGGGGTTGCCTAGCGGAAGCTAGAGTTTATAATCCACAAGAAAAGAAATTAGATTCTCAAACAGTAAGTGGTTACTTTATTGGTTACCCAGAGAAATCTAAAGGGTATGTGTTTTACTGTCCAAACCATACTTCGAGAATTATTGAAACCGGTAATGCAAGATTCATTGAGAACGGTGAAGTTAGTGAGAGTGTTGAAAAGCAAAGTGTGAAAATTAAAGAGGTGAGGGTCAATATTCTATTACCCAGAAATGTGCCTACTTCCACATAAATACCAAATATTATTCCAGTTATTGAAGAACACTTTGACAACACCGAACAACATTTGGATGAAACACTTCATGAAGAAAATAACTCACAAATATCTGACACAAATGAACCACAAGAAATACCATTAAGAAAATCTCAAAGAGTTAGAAAATCGGCTATTTCGGATGATTATGTGGTTTATTTGCAAGAGTCAGATTTTGACATTTGTCTTAATAAGGATCCGGTTTCATTTTCACAAGTCATAGAAAGTAATGAGTCTGACAAATGGATTGATGCCAAGAAGGAAGAGTTAAAATCCATGGAGTACAATAAAGTCTGGAATCTTGTTGAATCGCTAGAAAGTTCTAAAAGAATCGGGTGTAGAAGGGTCTTTAAGACCAAACGCAATTCAAATGGCAATATTGAGAGATACAAATCCAGACTTGTTGCCAAGGGTTATACTCAGAAAGGAGGCATTGATTATAAAGAGACGTTTTCGCCGGTCTCAAAGAAAGACTCGTTAAGAATTATTATGGCTTTGGTGGCTCATTATGATTTATAGTTACACCAAATGGATGTGAAAACTGTCTTTCTTAATGGAGAACTCTAGGAGGAAGTTTATATGGACCAACCAGAGGGTTTCGAAACTAAAGAAAAAGGTCAAATGGTGTGTAAACTGAAGAAGTCAATATATGGACTTAAACAAGCCTCACGATAATGGTATATAAAGTTTAATGATACCATAACATCTTTTGGATTTGTGGAAAATACCGTTGATCGGTGTATATACCAAAAGATCAGTGGGAGTAAGTTTATATTTTTAGTCATATATGTTGATGATATCCTACTTGCTGCTAATGATTTAGGCATATTGCATGAGACTAAAGATTTTCTCTCTAAGAATTTTGAAATGAAAGATATGGGTGAGGCATCCTAAGTGATAGGAATAGAAATATTCCGTGATAGATCACAAAGATTATTGGGATTGTCTCAGAAAGGCTATATCGAAAGAGTTCTAGAGAGATTTAATATGAACAATTGTTCAGCACGAATTGTTCCAATTCAAAAAGGGGACAAATTTAATCTCAAGCAATGCCCTAAGAATGATGTAGAATGAAAAGAAATGGAATCAATTCCTTACTCTTCTATTGTTGGTAGTCTGATGTATGCTCAGTCTTGCACAAGACCAGATATTAGTTTTGCGATCAGAATGCTAGGAAGATATCAGAGTAACCCAGAAATTGATCACTGGAAAGTTACAAAGAAAGTTTTGAGGTACCTGAAAGGAACGAAGGATTACATGCTCATGTATAGGAAGTCCAAGCATTTAGAAGTTGTTGGATACTCAAATTCAGATTTTGCTGGATATATTGATACTAGAAAATTCACGTTTGGTTATTTGTTCCAATTAGCCGAAGGAGCAATATCGTGGAAGAGTGCCAAACAGTCTGTTATTGCTACATCCACGATGGAAGCAGAATTTGTGGCATGTTTTGAAGCCACAATTTATGCATTATGGCTGCAAAACTTTATTTCAGGACCTGGGGTTGTCGACACCATTACCAAGCCGCTGAAAATTTACTGTGATAATTCTGCAACAGTATTCTTCTCCAAGAATGATAAGTACTCCAAAGGTGCCAAGCATATGGAATTAAAGTACTTTACTGTCAAGGAAGAAGTTCAAAAACAAAGAGTGTCACTTGAGCATATTAGAACAGATCTCATGATTGCAGATCCGTTAACGAAAGGTTTACAGCCAAAGATATTTAAAGAACATGTACATGGAATGGGTCTTGGCTGTATTTTTGACTAATGTATTTATGATGTTTTGACACTCTGAGCTCATTTATATGTTTCTGGTATACATTAGTGATTTCCTGTTTCTCATAATGGTGTACATATTATTGTTTTGGGATGTTACAGGATAAGTCTCAATGAGACATTATTGTGGACCATAATATTTTATAGCTTATGAACCTGATACGATAAATTACTAATGTTGTAGTATATGGAAGGGACTATATAGACAAATTATATATAACCGCCATAACTCACATTCACTAGTTTATCATATTGTGGTATTTATGATGGACATTATAGAAGAGATTTGTTTATGCGCAACTAATGTTCCTATATTAAATATTAATATTATATGATTATTGGGCCAAGTGGGAGAATGTAAGTTATTTTTCTTACGTGAGTGTGACCTAATAGGTTTAAGCCCCATAATTAATATTTAATTAATTATCAAATCTCATCCGTCCGATTGGTTACTTGATGGACGTACCAGATTAAGTGAGAACCTCTATAAATTGGTCCTATCCCCACCCATTGGGGTTACCGTATTTTTATTCTCTTTTCCATCACTAAAGTCGGCGGTAACGTAAAGTTAGGGCAAGGGGCGAGAAACCGATTATCGATTAACGCTTCCGCTTCAAAATAATGGATTCCGCTTCAGGTATGTTTTCTATAACGATTTTGTGTAAGATTATCATGTTCAAGATCCTGGTATAAATTAAATTTATGCTTACATTTTAAAATTTTAAAAACCGAAGCAAGAAACAAAATACGAGCCTTTTCTATTATCAAAATGAAGATATTAGGATTTTGAGCTGTTTTTTTTGTCCTTTCCAGTGACTACAGCAGAGAACGGGCATAAGGCTTTGGAGTTGTTGGGCTTGGTGGAGGGACAATATAGCAAGAGTACTACAATAAACAACAACTTTGAAACAATATTATACTCATCTTATACCCCCTTGATTTTCTAAAGTTACTCCAATCAAACATCACGAAGAAACATACAATATGAGGCTCCATACCTCCTACTCAGTCAACACTTGTTTACGGTGTATTGTAGTCACTACTGTTCGGGAGAAAGATTAGTACCTAGTTTGCCTCCAAGGGATAAATAGCAGGTTTTATTAGGCATTGTTTTGAAAAAATAGTAACCTATCAAAAAAAAAGTAGTATCACTAGTCTTGCAATTCAATGCATGTGACTTTTTATCACCAGTCCAATTCAATGCCTGTGATCAGCAACAATTTGTTGTATGGCCTGCATCTTTTATAACTTTCTGTTTTTTTATACTAAGCCTTGATTCAATATTGC